CAGCTCCAGCTCAGTGCCTGGCACCTACTTGGCATGCCAGGAGGAGAATCTAGGCCAGCTGGGGAAACTAGAGACCCCTAGCTCAGGTTAGTACCAGCTCTGTGTCAGATGCTCTGGGAGGTGGCAAATTCCAGAAGGGGTAGGGTGGGGAGGGGGAGGAAAGGGCTGCTGAGGGATTTCTACCTGCCGGGCCCACAGGGCTGGGGTTCAGTCCCCTCCCTGACTCGTAAGCTCCGTATTTGGACAGAGCAGTTACTGGGCTGGAGCCTTAAATGGATAGGGGGCCAGGCCTGGAGTGAGGGCACCCATGTATGGCCAGTGGGTCTAAGTGCCAGCTCTGGGAGCACCTGGGATCATCCTGGTACATATATGACCATCAGGGCCTGGGGGCCTGGACTGTGAAGCTGGTCTCAGGAGTAAGGACCAGCTCCCCTACCATCCCTGAGGCTTGGGATCTGTTCCTACTGCCCCACTCAGGGAAGAGGGAGTAATGGGACAGTTTGGGCCCTTGGGTCAGAGCCAGGACCAGGGCTGGGACCTCTAGCCCCCCCATGCAGGGAGAGACTCCCAGCAATCTGAACGTGGTGGGCAGTCCTGGGATGGGGGAGAGAGCTCCCCACCTTTGCAGACAGCACCAAAGTTGCCAGTGTGTTGGAGGATGAGATCCCTGTGGTGTGGAAGCCGGTCCAAGGAGCCTGTTACTCATGGGCACACCTCCCTCACTGGACCAGCGAACCCCCCTCTTCTTGCTTGCGTATTCCAATGCCGTAAGAAGTGCCCAATGTTCAATCTTGGAAAATGCAGGAGAAGATCAAAAATTTTCCCACCGCCATCTAGACAACACCACTGTGCACAATTTGTGCGTCCTTCCAGACTTATCTGTGCATGTCTATTTAGATATTTTTTCTCTGTTTCAGAAAAACAAGATCATATTACACATTGTTTTCCTTGCTTTTTTTGCTTGTCTGTTTTAAAATTTTGTTAACGGAAGTGTGACAGGCATACAGAAATGCACACAAGTCATGAATGTCCAGCCATTTGTGATGGAGTTATCACAGAGTGACCACATTCGTGTAGCCAGCAACCAGAAACCCCGTCATGCCTCTTCCAGTCCCCTACGCCCTCCTTCCCCCAGGATCCCCACTACCTGACACCCCCTCCACCCATGGCTTAGCCCTGATCGCTGCCCTTTATATATTACCGTATTTCCCCATGTATAAGACCCACCCTTTTTGGAAAAATTTGGGGTAAAAACTGGGTGTGTCTTATACAGTGGCTATAAATTTTTTTTACTTGTATTTCCCGCTTTTTTCGTGCTTGTTTTTGCGCTCATTGTTGTAGATTTTTTTACTTGCATTTCCCGCTTTTTCACGCTTGTTGTCTTTGCGCTCATTGTTTCGCACTTGTTACCGGTATATTATGGTAGGTTACATTTTGCCACGTTCTGCCCAGAAATGGCTTAGAAAAGATTTTCATACAGTGCTGAATTCAAGTTAAAAGTGATCCAGTTTGCCAAAGTGAATGGAAATCATGCTGCTGAATGTAAGTTTGGTCCTCCTACAACTGAGAAAACAATCTGAGACCGGCTACGGGAAGAAGAAACCCTACTGAAAACGCCATGGCAGAAGAAGGCCATGAGAGGCAATATATGAAGACAGTGATTTGTCATCAGACACAGATGAGGACAAGCTAATGGTTGGGAGTTTTGACAGTGATGAGGAGTTGTATGAATTTTATGATGAATAAGACTTGAGCTCAATAACTTGATGTAATACATTTTTTTTCAAATTTCGGGCCCCAAAATTAAGGTGTGTCATACATGGGAGCGTCTCATACATGGGGAAATATGGTAGGTTGTTGGAAAAGTCATGATGTATTTTTTCTATGTTTTTCGTTGCAAAAATACATCATGACTTTTCTGACAATCTAATAAATAGGATCACATGGTGTGCTCTTTTCTGTCTGGACTTTCTACTCGACACTGCATGGGATCCATCCTTGCTGTAGCTGTTGGTTTGTTTCACTGGTTTGTGGTTGTATAAAACACCACAAGGTTCTCCTCTCTCACTGAAGGTCTGTCCCTGCTGTTGGGGAGGGCTGGACTGCTGGGGGACTGCGGAAAGAGCAGAGACGTTAGAATTAATCCAACAGACCAAGGTGCAAACCCTGCCCTGGCAATTGTAGACTCAGCCGTGGTATTTAACCTCTGCCATCCTCTCTCCTCTCTGACCGGGCTTCTGAGAAGCCATGTCACAGGGGCCGTAAGGAAGGCCCTGGAACAGAGCACCTATGTGCCTGCTCCGCAAACATTCACTCCTTTTCCTCCAGCCACTGGTGAAGGAGATGAATGTGCAGTTCCCTAGGGAGTAACCCAGGGAACCACAGAAAGGCCCACCCCTTCTTCACGTATCTTCGGGCCTCTGGTCTGGCTGTGCTGTAATCTGGGCATTAGTTACTACTTTGTCCATAGGACAGAGGCCTGACAAAGCCAGTCAGGCAGCAGGGAAGTCCTTGCCCCTTCCTTCTCCCAGGGCAGGCAGCTGGGGCCTGGGCCACCCAGCCCTGTGTTCCTAGGCTGTGCCCCTTGGGATGGGGGTGGGGTGGGGTGTTGAAATTTAGAAGCATGTGTCCTGGGCTGTTTGCCAGAGCCCAGGGTAGAGTGAGGGCAGGGAGCCTGGTAGCGGGGGTGGGGCTGGGCTGAGACTGCTGAACATTAGCAATACCCACAAGTGGGGAGGAATGCATAGCTGGCCTGGGGGCCCATTCCTCTAGAGGAACCTCAGGCACAGCCCACCCTTTGGCGCACTCTGGGTCCATTGCCACCTTTCTGTGAGCCTCCCTTCCCGGCCTCCACGGGGCTGAGGTTTCTCCTTCAGAGCTCCTGTTTTCCCAGTCTCTTGCTACTCTGCCTCACCCCACCCCCTGTGGCAGCCTTTGATGCTATTGACCACAATATCAAAACTGGAACGTCTGGAAACTCTCCCTCTCCACAGCAGCTTGTGTGATGGTTAAAAGCATGGGGCTTGGAGCAGATAGACCTGCCCTGGAATCCTGCCCAGGCAGCCTTGTAGCTGCATGACCTTGAGCAGGTCACCCACGTCTCCAGGCTATTTCCTCATTTGTAAAAAAATTTGAAATAATAGCCTCTCACTCATGATACTGTAGTGAGAATGGAATGAGATTGTACAGGTAAGACCTGACTCCGTGGCTGGCCCCTCACTCTTTCCCTGTTGGCCTTATGCCTATTGTTCAGTCTCCTGCAATTCATAAGTGTCTGAGTGTCCTTTTGGAGACAGTGGTGAACCAGACACAGACTTTGTTCTCAGGTGGCCACCCAGTTAGGGATGGACACTGACCCAATGGGACTGTGACCCCTATCACAGGGGCTGCTGGGCACAGAGGCAGCAGTACAGGGCCTGGGGGTGGCCAGTGAATGCTAACTGACACAGCACCATCCCATTACTTCCTATCACATCATGGCACTTTCACTAGCTTCTCATTAAGTGCTTGTTTATTGTCCGTCTGGTCCCTCTGTAATGTCAGATCTGTGATAAGGGAGGCCCTTGTTCACTACAGGTCCAGAAGAGTTCCTGAAACACAGTAGGGGCTAGTAAATATTTGTTGAATGAAGTAAGCTATATCAGTCAGTGGAGGCCTGTAACTAGGAGTTGGAGTGGTGAAAAAAGAAGGCTAGGTAAGGGCCGGCCGAGTGGCGTGATGGTTAAGAGCTGGCTTGGGATGCTAGAGGGCCCCGGTTCGGATCCCACATATGAGGGCCAGTGACGCTGCCCTCTACAGCTAAGATGCTGAGTAACAGCTCAACCTGGAGCTGGGCTGCCGTGAGTCGCCTGCGACGGCATAGGCTGCAGCCCCTGTGGCAGTGGGTTGCCATGGGCTACCGTGTGTAGCCAGCAGCCAGCGTGAGAGGCCAGCAGCCACCATGAGCAGCCATCCAGAAGCTGGCGACTGATCTCCCTCTCCCGGGAAGAGTGCAATGATGGTGCCAACTTGGGCCAGTGAAACAAAGTCCTCCACAACTAGACTGAAGAACAAAAGGACAGCAACTTGTCTGTTCCCCTTCCCCCAATTCTCCAGCGCTGTTCCCATCCCCCCAATTCCCCAATAAAAATCTTTAAAAACAAAGGCTAGAACAAGAGTTGAAAAAGTGTTCTAGGTAGAACACAAGATACAAAGAAGCAAAAAAGGCTTGGGGTGGGGGGTGGGGAAAGGGGAGGACAAGAGAGCTAGGAGGAAGGTATGGAATATTTAGAGATGAGGCTAGAGAGTGACATTCAGAAATTGGGACTTGGTCTAGTAAGCAATGGGAATCACTGAAAGTTAAGTAGGTGTATGACTTGGTTAGATTTACGTTTAAAAAGAAGAAGGTGGGGTGGCCAGTTAGCTCAGGTGGTTAGAGGGCAGGCTTATAACACCAAGGTTGCTGGTTCGATTCCCACATGGGCCAAGGAGCTGCCCCCTCCACAACTAGATTGAAACAACTATTTGACTTGGAGCTGATGGGTCCTGGAAAAACACACTTTCCCAATAAAATTTCTTAAAAAAAAAAAGGGTTGGAGAGAGGAAGTACCGCTGCCACTGCGTGGAGACTGGAATTAAAGAGGGTAATAGTAAATGAAGAGAGTTCAATTACAAGGTTAGTATCAGGCGTTTCCTTCAGAAATTACGGAGGCCTGCCGAAGAGTGGAGGTGTGTGAAGAGCGATTAGCGTACGTACTGTATGAATGGAGGGAGGAGTCGAGGGTGCCGCTTAGGTTTCTGACTTATGTGATAGGGTGACCACAGATGTCACTCACGAAGATAGGCCTCTTTGGAGGCGGGGCATAACTGAAAGGGACGCCCTTCCGTGCCCCGCCTATTGGCGGCAGGGTGGCGTCGATTGGCTGTTTCGAGGAGCGCGCCAAAAACTGACAAGGGTGGGAGGGAGGTGTATTCCTGCGTCATCTCCGGGAGGTTACCCGCAACCCTTTCTCGGCCTCCCTGTCTCCGGAACTTCCGGCCGGCGCCGCCATTTTGACTTCCCGACCTTGGGCTCCCGCTGGCCGCTGTCTGCAGTTTACTCAGTGCAGTCATGTCTGTGCTCACACCGACGCTGCTGAGGGGCCTGACGGGCCCGGTCCGGCGTCTCCTGGTGCCGCGTGCCCAGGTCCATTCCAAGCCGCCGCGGGAGCAGCTCGGAACCATGGTGAGGAGCGGGCCAGACCGTGGGTTCCGCGGCGGGTTCGGGGTCGGCCGGGTCAGGCGCGCTGGAACTCAGAGGCACTGAGAGTGCTCTGCACCTCGCGACCCGCAGCGAAAGTGCTGTATTGGGCGCGTTGGAGGGCGCGAACGAGGGGGCAGTGCTTGGGCTACAGTCGTTCAGTCAGCCCCAGGATCTCGGGTCATACGTCAGTCCCAGGCCTGTCGCTTATTTGCTGAACAGCCTCGAGCAAGCTTTTTTATTTAGCTCTCTCTGACCCCGTTGACTCATCGGTTCATTGGGGAGTACCAGACGACTGTTAGCTACCACTATTAATTACTAGGGGAGGGGAGGCAAGAGGACTCCCAACAGGTCTTTGTAGTTCCTAGAAATGGGGGAGGGTTTAACCCACCCTTACAACTTTCACCTCTTTGGCACTTCTGTACATTGGTTCAGTGGCAGAACCCGGCCTTGAATGCAAGTCTTCAGAATCCAGGTTAGCGGGCCTGCAGTTACAGCAGAGCTGGGAGATCGCTGCGATTGTGAAAATCATGGTGATAATATTTGCAACTGGCATCTGCTGAATGCTTGCTGTGTGCCAAGCACTAGGCTAAGAGTGCTGTGCTGGTCTCCATTCAGTCCTCCCAGAGACTCGTAGAAGAAAGGGCCATCATTTCCATTTTGTGGTTGAGGAAAGTGACATTTAGGAGCAGTGTATTGACTTGTCAAAAGTTACACCTTCAGTGGCAAAGAAATAATTTGAACTCCAAGTTTTGTTGATCTTAGCTGGTATAGGGAATATGGAAATGCATATAAAAAGTCGTTTCTCACTAGCCCCGAATGGTGAGTAGCAATTCTGGAAAGGAGATGGGAAGGGAGGAGTTTTTAAAGCAAGGAAGGGAAGGCTCATTTTTAGAGTTATCAGCCTGTGCAAGGTTCCTGGGTCCCAACAGACCAGCTTTAAACAGGTTTAAATCCTTGTTCTTGTGACTTCACTTTATCAGCAGATGGTGGATTCTCACCCAGCCTGGCCCCCCGCCTCCATGTCTGACACTTGACCTCAAGGCCTAGAGTGGGCCTTGGATCTGCCATGGCCCTCCTCTGGAGCCTGAATCTTGACTCCCTAAGGCGGGGCTTTCGGCTGGCTGAGAAGGCTGCTGGGACTACAGAAAGCCTGGGGGATTCCTTACTTTGGGGCGTTCTTTCTTGTGCTCTGTGTAGGAGATCGCCATTGGGCTCACCTCCTGCTTCCTGTGTATCCTTCTGCCGTCGGGCTGGGTCCTGTCTCACCTGGAGAGCTACAAGAAGCGGGAGTGAAGGGGGCTGTCCTCCCTCTCACCCTGTGACCGGACCACCCCCAGCCTATCCTGACCATGTCTGCTGCATTCCTGGACAGCCTTCCCTGGATCATATCCTTCGGTTACAGTGACCTCTTCTGCAATCGCGACCTCTTGATTTCTCCATTGTGACAACCTGGGACCACATAAACCGTTTATAAAGCCCTGCTCAGTAGGGCCCCCTGGTAACAATAAAATCTATGTAAACATTGCTTCAGAAACTCATCGTGGCTTTGACCTGGGCTCCTGCCTATGTACTTGAGCTGAAGATGGTGTTGGGAGGGGGTGTGGAGAAGAGGTGGGTGTCCCTGCTGGCTTATTGCCTTGTGGTAGGTCTTGTGTGCTCAGCCATTCTCCTTGCTGCCTGGGAGTGGTGATTCCTTTGTGTGCTTTTGTGTGTTAAAATGTTTCTGGCTTCTTGGGAAAACAAAACCTGTTGTGATTGGGCAGCCTTTCTTGCTCATCCCTCTAGCACTCTTGGTTGTGCCAAGCTCAAGGCCGTGAGAGTGTGTCTGTCTCCTGTTGGGGCCAGCTCTGCTGCTGGAAGCCGTTCTCTCCATGGGGCCAGCCTTCCCTGTCCTCAGTTTGTGGGCTCCAACCATTTCTTAGGTGGTGGTGTCCTTCCTAGTGAAGGGTGGGGCACTTTACAGTGTCTTGCTTTTTTATGTCAACTCCAGGGCCCCTTTTAGCAGTATAACTAGCTATAAATGCCTATGGACTGACTGGCTTCCTTGTTCTCCTTGCGTCCTTCTCTGTCCCCTCTCTTTGGCTTGGGGAATTTGCTGCTCCTCCATGCTTAGGGCCCTTCCTTCCTCAGTGATTCTTCCTGGGGGGTTGTGGCGGGGGGGGCGGGGCCCTCCTTAGCTGGGATGATGCGTGTGAAGCGCTCCACACTGAGCTGGAATCCTGACTGCCAGTGTCTCAAAGGAACACTCCGACCTGCTGGCCCCACTCCTGGAGGGATACCACAGCTTAGCTCTCCTTTTTCTTCTTTGCTGAGGTGACATGAGTGATTTCTGAACAGACACAGGTTCAGTGTTCCCTGTGGAGATGAGGCTTCCAGGACTTTCGGGGCCCACATGGTGGGCAAAGCTGCCAGGAGAGAGCTGAGGGGCTTTGGGGTGTGGCTGGCTTGAGGCCCTGGGTGACAGAACACACATCTCCCCAGTCCCTCTTCCGCAGGGCTCCTGTTTCCTGATTTACGCTGACAGAAGCTGAAAGTAGACCCTGCTCTCCCTCCCTTTGTCTAGTCCCTCCTGGCCTTTTTGTGTGGTGTCCAGTGATGCCTGTGGTACTCAGTGCCTGGATACTATGGCAAGTGCACTTCTGCCCATGGCTGCTTCCCTGAGCGGTGGGGAGTTGGTTTGCCTGCCACCTAAAAGGCTTGTTTCCTTCCACACAAGCCAGCTTTTGTGTCTGGGCCTGAGGGACAGGGTCTAGAATACTGCGAAGTACTCACAGTTTGGTCTACTAGCCAGGGGATGGGGAGGGCCCATGTTGGATCTGAAGGGCTGACCTGAGCCAGGCTGGGTTGCCGAGCAAGGGGCAACCAACCACCTGTCACCTGCAGGTACCTTTACAGCTTCCTTGTCTCTGGGAGGGGGTTGGGGGGGGCCTCATAGCTATCTCTTCCCAAACAACGGGGTCACCCCTGCTCCCTGCCTCACTCTGGGAGGCTTTCCGGTTGACTTGCTGAGCAGAGAGAGCTCTGAGCTGCTTGGTCCTTGGTTGGCTCAGATTGCTGTGGGTACAGATTTCCCACAGCAAGAATGTGACACCAGGGCCGGCCGAGTGGCTCAGTTGGTTAAGAGCTCGCTCAAGAGTTTGAGCTCTGAGCAACAGCGGTTCGAGTCCAGCCCGAGCTGAGCAGC